GTTAATTTATATAAGATAAGGGAAATATTTTAAATTATAAATAATAATAATAATTATTAATTATTAGATATTAATTACATTGAAATAGTAAATTTAAATACCTTTTGCTGCTTTTAGATGTTTTTATTTTTCTTTTTGCAAAAAATAAAGTAAGAGACACACTTAGTTAAGCCAAACATAACTTTTCTTTTTATGAGAAAAAATATGGATAGAAATATTAATTTTGTATTTTTTATTTAAAAATAGTTATTTTATTAGTTTTTAAATAAAAATATCAACTCTTAAATTTTTTTACTTAAAAATATTAATTTTTAATTTTTTATATTTAAAGATTAATTAGATGATAATTAATATTGACGTAGTAAATAAATATTTAAAAAAATATTAACATTTTTAAATAAAAAAATTAAAAATTAACATTCTTAAATATAAAAAATTAAAAGTTAATACTTTTAAATAAAAAATAATATTTTTATTTTTATTTAGAAATTGATAAGATTAATAGTTTTAAATAAAAAATAAAAATTAATATTTTTATTTATATATTTTTTTAAATTTAAAATTAAAGAAAATATTAATATTAATTTCTCGTTTAAAATATTTACATAATTTTATAAAGCAAAGTTAAGATTTAAAATGCATGACAAACTAAATTTCACTTTTTCCTTTATTTTTTAATTTGATTTTTGGTTATAGGCCATAGACTCGACTAAGGCGCCAAACTCGGCCAAGGCCTATGCCGATAAACTTTATGTCTCCGACTCCGATCAGTTTTCCAGTGAGCACACCGCCATCGAGCTGACCGGAACCGACCGCCCCGGCCTCTTTTCCGAGATCTCCGCTGCGCTGGGCGACCTCCATTGCAACATCGTAGAGGCCCACGCTTGGAGCCACAATGCCCGCCTTGCTTGCGTCGCCTACATCTCCGATCAATCCACCGACAACCCAATCTACGATCCCCACCGCCTCGCCACCATCGAGGGCCACCTCACCACCGTGCTTCGAGCCACCCCCTGCGGGACCGACGCGTGCAGCCTGCAGGAGGCAAAAACCGCCTCAGGTATTCTAGGTGTTGACGGAACCATGACTGACGTGGAACGGAGGCTGCATCAGCTGATGCTTTCTGTTCGGGATTTCGATGGGCCCAGTGAGCCAATGAGCTCGTCGACGATGTGTTCTTCTGGTTCGGAGAGCGAGGAAGAGGGGAGGAAGACGGTCGTGACAATTGAGAACTGTGACGAAAAAGGGTACTCGATTGTGAACATAGAGTGTGAGGATCGGCCAAGGCTCATGTTCGATATTGTTTGCACGCTTACTGATATGCAATATGTGATTTTCCATGCTTCAATTACTTCTCGTAAAGGCGATGGATTTCAGGTAAATTTCTCTATTTTAGAGTCTCTTATCTTCAATTCATCCATTGTTCTTTGTTTTTCCCTCCAATTCCAATATAAAGTATAGATTAGGATTTGGATTATGTGATGCTTTTTTTTTTTTTGTTTTCCTTTAATTTTTTAATCTGGATTATTTTCATTACCCAACTAGAAATACATCTTTTGCATCCTTAGTTTGCACTCATTTTATTAATTTTGTTACTATAACTCGAATTCAATTGTTTTTATTTTATAGTCATGTGTAGTTTGAATTGCAAAACACGAGACTCATTATATAAATTAATTTTAAAAAATTTTCAAGTGTGCTTGGTTTGGCTGATTCTATAAGCTTATAACGGTTATAACAACCAAACCAAACATAGCCTTCTTGGTTGCTACATTATAGAACTACAAAATTTGGGGCCTATGATCTTGTAGTAAAACTTAAAAGGATGCCTGCTAAGTTCATTAATTTTGTACTATATGCAGGAATACTTTATTCGGCGTGTGGATGGATGTGCTTTGGAGACAGAGAGTGAGAAAGAACGTGTGATAAAATGCTTAGAGGCAGCCATTAAACGCCGGGTTTGTGAGGTGAGTCCTTACTATATATACAAGTCTTTCTCTTATAGCATTGATGATTTGGGGTTGGAGATAACAGTCTTCCTTCTCTTATTACAATGGCACAGGGAGTTAAACTAGAGCTATGTGCAGAAAACAGAGTTGGGTTGGTATCGGATATAACGCGAGTTCTGAGGGAGAACGGGCTTGCAGTGGTTCGAGCAGATGTAGCAACACAGGGAGAGAAGGTTGTGAATGCATTCTACGTGAGGCACATCTCCGGCAATGACGTAGACATAGACATGGATTTTGTGGAATCAGTGAAGAAAGAGATGGGACCAGTGGACTTGGAGGTTAAGAACAATGCCAGCAGGCCAAGCACGGATGATAGAACGTCCCGATCGTTCTCTCTTGGAGACATTCTCAAGTCTCAGGTTGAACGCTTCTCCCATAACTTCATCTCTATCAAGTGATCCTATTCATCTATGTGTCTTGCAATTAGTATTACAGAATGCACTTAATTATGATTATCTTCCAAGTTTCAACTTAGAAGAAGATCACCAAACTAGAATGACACAAAAACGTCGAGCCAAGCATACCTAATCTGTTCACAAGTATCTAATGATACCATTCACTGACAGTAATGTCCTTTGGCTTTGCTATCTCAATTCCAAGAAACTTGCTTGTGATTATCTTCAAACCCATACTCGGAAAATTTTCATCCTTATATAAAGCTGAGTTCAATCAAAATGGGGATTAGAAAAGAGATTCTTCATTACTTTTGCCAAGAAAGATATCAGATGTAGAATTGATGAAACCTAATTCGGAAAAAGATTAATCTCCTTAATAAACTGATTCCAAGTGGCGTAGATGAGAGGCATCTTCAAACGAGTACACATTCTTCGCAGAAAAAACTACACAAATTTGTAACTTAATTTTGCACAATATACATATCTCAAGACTAGACCTCTCCACATAGCAGACGGCTCTTAACTCTTCTACATGACACCATATAAACAAGGAATCTGAAACCATTGTAAAACCCGTCTTCAACCTCAAGTAGATGCTTCAAACTGGAATCACTTCTAGGGACATGGACATGGATGTTGCCGAACTATTTGTTTCCTTCTTTGCTTTCTGCACGCTTTAGGAGATTACGATACCTTAGGCTCAATTATAGTTTGGAAGACTTAACGTACAGAAAATATGGCTATAGACACTCGAAGTTAAATATCAGACCATCTCAACCACGGTATTCTTCCAGGCCTTTTCCATTACGTCGAAAACTTCCTCAATTGGAGGCCTGCCTTTGCTTAATTTGGCAACACACAGGACTGCAACCTGCAAGATAGAGTTGAAGTCTGCATTGTTGACGCTCCCTTTCATTCTCGAGTCTACAAAATCTGTAAATGGACGTTTCCCTACGCTTACATCTTTTGCCTGCACAAAAATAACAGATTTTATCACTCTAATTTCTCTAGTTCTAATGGTATATTCAAAACCAACGATCTAAATAACTCAGTGATCATTTCTTTCTGTTGGAAACAAGAGATCCTGAATTCGAGTTATATACCATGTCGGTGGGGTGAAAGAAAGGATAGGAGATTGTTGTCTTCCATTGTGCAATCAATATAAAAATAAAATAGTAATTTCAAAATTAAGCACAGAAAAACACCGTAGCTAATTTGTATTAATAGATGCAGAAATTACACCTTTCTTGTTAGCTGATCTTTAGCATCAAAATCTAATTCAATGACCTTTTGCCCTGATAGAATCTGCAAAGCAACAATGCCAAAGCTGTAGATATCGCTGGCACAGGTCAGCTTGGCATTGGTCATGTATTCTGGATCCATATAACCAAATGTCCCTCTAACATCCGTAAATACTTTACTCTCCTCCATCCCCAGCATCTTTGCCAGCCCGAAATCAGGGAGCTTTGGGTCCAAATTCTCAGTCAGAAGTATATTTGTAAGCTGTGAAGAAAACATGAAAGAATCATCACTGAAAGAAAAAAATATATTTCAGAAGAACCAAGATAAAATTGCTAAGAAAACCAAGTACCTTAATATCTCTGTGAACAATGCAGCCATCAACAAAATGGTGAAGATATTTTAGGGCAAGTGCACAATCTCTCAGGATCTTAGCCCTCTTTTCCCATGTCAACGCAGTATCTTTCCCTGAATTAGTATGCATATACAATTAAGTATAATATTGTTTGAAGAAAATAGGTTAGAATGATGTATGGGGAAATTAAATACTTAGGAAATGTTGAGCAAGATTCCCAGCTGAACAATATTCGTAGACAAGAAACTGCTCACCGCCCTCACTGCAGCATCCAAGAAGACTAATTAGGTTTGGATGTCTAATCCTAGAAAGTCCTTCAACTTCTCTGGTGAAGGAATCAGAAGAGTTGCTCTTGTTTATATGCTTGATAGCAACAACCTGACCACTAGGCAAGACGCCCTTATAAACCTGGCCTGCACTGCCTTTCACCATAAACGTTTATGGCATTTTCTATCTCAGCTTTGGAAAATCTGTAGATTCCAGACCATGCAATTATCTCTTTATGCTCAAGAATGGGTTTAGTAAGAAGCTTTTGGTCGCCTTTTTTCTTGTTTCTAGCCACATATTTAATCAGTATCAGAATCAGCATCAGTACAAAGAATGCTACAACTGTTGAAGCCAATGCTTTTGC